ACGGCTACAGCCTGGAGAGGTGCTGGAAACTCAGGGGGTTGCAGCGGGTTCGGGGCTTCAAGCTGGGGGCCGCTGGGAATTCAGCCAGGGATCAATTTTCAGGCTCGCAGCTGGTGTCAGGATTTGGGGCACCGCTGTCTGAAAGAACTGAAATCTCTCCCGGTTGAGGAACCCTGCTTTAAGGTGCACGTGGGGTGGGGTGACACAAACATCTAACTCACCCCCGCACCCTAACCCCTCTATCACACTCAGGCTGCCTCTTCTGCTAGTGGCTAGCTGCCTGAGCGCGCCCCCTGCTGGCACCACCTGCAGCATTCCCCTGAATTTATCCCTCCCCGTCTCTCACACAGTAGCAGCGGGCTCTAACTTCCCCCGATCCCTTTCCTACTGCGCTCAGTGAGTTTGATGCGGTGAGTGGCGGAGGCCGCTGACCCGTTTCTGGCCGCTCACCCAGACCGGGATGCTTCCCAGCTGTTCCCCTAACTCCATTGTGCCCCTCACTCTTGAACCGCAAGAGGCCGTTGCAGGGGAACCCTTGGACCCGATAGATTTTCTAAGGTACAAACTGGGAGACTTTTGATCTCTCCTGACTGGCTGCGGACAGACTGGAGCGGGGCTCTTGGCTTTAGCGGCCTCCCAGCCCGGCTACTCTGTTGGTAATTCCCTGCCCTAAGGAAGCGACCAAGGTTCCCACCTGAGCTCAAGCCCAGTCCCTGAGACTAAGAGCCCCACACTCGGGAGGATCCGTGTTTGCTGCACTTCTCCCTCCCCCGGAACCTGCCAAACCCCTGGCAAGGCAGAATCACTCCTGGGGAACCAGCCAGAACTACCTAGCCAGATGCCCTGAACTGCAGATTCCTAAGCACGTGTTCTTGCAGGGAGAGGGGGACATGGAAATGAGGTGACCTCTCCACACAGGAAGCAAAGGCGGTGCCGGAGCGGGATTTGAACCCAAGGCCACACAGATAAATAGTAGAAAAGAGGGGACCACAGAGAAAAAGAAATGAGGGTTTCACACGCACACGTGTTGACATGTGAGCTCTTGCCAGACAGAAAGAGAGCAGCCTCCGTTTACTTTAAATCTTCTCAGCTCTCCCCTTCTTCTGGAGGCAAGAGCTGGGATCCCCTTTTTCCCAGCACCAAATTACCTTATTTCTCTGGACTGTGTTTGGACTTGAGGAAATGACCTGGCTTCTGGCTGCCCCTGTTGCTCAGCCAAAGGCCCTGGCTCAAGAGCAAGGCCTCAGGCTGTCAATGACCCATCAGCCTTCAATGACTCTCCCTCCAAATCGGGCCGCAGCTCATTGCAAAGTGTAAGGGCTCCCATTGTCCACAGTCCTGCTTTAGCTTCCTCTGGGGATGGGGGCGGGCACAGAGTCACACATATTCCCCTCCCCCTTCCCTGCCAAAGGCGTCTGCGTCCAGCCCTCTGACCCCAAGGCCACGGAGAACAGTGGGAGACAGTTTCTCGGAATGAGCCCCCAACACCCGCTCCCTTGGGCCATGGGCGCCTCAGGGACATGCGGTCACTTCATCCCTTTATAACAGGCGACCATGCAAAAGGGGAGAAGGGATCTGATTTAAATCTCTCCCTCTGCTTGCCCAGACTGCAGCCGCAGGGACAATCCGCAGCCCTCTGTGTCTGCCCAGTGACCAGCCAGTCCCCGGAGAACATTGCCCGCCCGCACCAGGGACAATGGGACTTTGGCTCTGTTTGGTGTTTATTCCAGGCGCTTTGAAAGGTATCTGCATCTTTTAAATGCACTGTTAGGGATCTGATTTAAATCTCTCCCTCTGCTTGCCCAGACTGCAGCCGCAGGGACAATCCGCAGCCCTCTGTGTCTGCCCAGTGACCAGCCAGTCCCCGGAGAACATTGCCCGCCCGCACCAGGGACAATGGGACTTTGGCTCTGTTTGGTGTTTATTCCAGGCGCTTTGAAAGGTATCTGCATCTTTTAAATGCACTGTTT